AGAATTTTTAAGAATAATAAACAAATAAGATCAGACCTCCAAAAAAGAAAAAGAAAAAAAAAAACCCAACTTTTCTTTTCTTTCTTTTTTTTTTTTTTTTGGTGCTGGGGATGGAACTCAGGACTGAGAGCACACTAAGCACACATTCTAACACTGAGCTACACCATACTCCCAGCCCAAACGTTTCCATCCTTTGTTGTTTATCTATATAATTACCAACTATAAAGTCAATAAGCCTGGGGTCTGACCTTAAATGGAGGAAGGAGCTTGTCCTTCTAGAGGAATGACATAATCATTTGGATAACATGGGAAATGAGTCGCTTCCAATCAGATTCTACCTTTACCTATTACTAATGAACTCCTCACTTTGCCTTAATAAACCTCCTTTGTCTTATCTTCTTTGTTTTTTTTTTTTTTGTTTGTTTGTTGGTTTGGTTTTTTTTTTTTTTTTTAGGGCTACAAATACCAAAAGGAGTCAATTCAGGCTGCTCTACAGTGCTGGTATTCATGGCAGGTGAAACAGAGAACAGTTTACAAATGCATAGACTAGTTGATATTAAAAAAAAAAAAAAACTCATAGCATACCTTGTATGTTTGAAAGGCATGAGGAATGCTATCTATTTGAAATATCTCCTTTACCTCAAAATGGTTTATCAAAGCACTTGAAATGTTACCAATTAGAAAAATCTTGAACCTTCTTTAGGTTAGGATTTTATATATCCAGGACTCTCTATTTTAGAATGCAAATAGCCATAGGAAGGTAATAGACTAAGTCTCTGACACATCAGATTGTTTTGCATTCTAACATTAAGCTGACAACAGAGTCCTAGAAAAACAGGGCAGATAAGCTCTGGTGAACAAGGGGCAGAAGACAAGTATGGTATACAAAGCACTCCTAGAGGGTTACGCCTGAGTAAACACCTGCCTTGGGTAATATTGGGCATACAGAAAAGAAAATGCAAAGTTCTAGGCCCAGAGAAAAGTGGGGAAAGAGTAAACAGGAAGACTAAAAAGACTAAAACTCAAAACCCAATTAACCATTTCACAATTTGTTTGTAGGCTGGCTGGAATGGTCAACTGCCCCAGGGCATGGTCCCAGAGCAGCAGTAGAAAATGAAGCAATCCTGAATACCAGTTCTATCTTTGGTTACCAGTGGTCTGAGAAAAGTAGGAAAATAATTTCTTAGACTGGTAATTGCCAGTGAAATATATCAAATTCACATGGGATACTTTTAAACCTTCCTTTCTATCTCCAAGCATATAACTCATCCCACCTCAAACCAGGTAAAAAATTTGAAGAAGGAAGGGAACCATGCTGAGTAAGAAGTGAACCTTCATAGTGTGAAAACATTCCCCAAGTGATCCAAATGATTATGTAATTCCTCTAGAAAGACAAGCTCCTTTTTCCACTTAAGGTCAGACCCCAGTTTCACCAAAATGAGAAGCAGATCCAGCAGTCCATAGCAGTTGATAAAATTCTTTATAGTTGAAGATATAAAATTTTGATTGCCACCTAGTGGAAGAGATAGAAAACCACATGCTACAGTGAGGCTAAGTAATCTACAAGTATCAAATGTTTTCTGTACTTTGACAAGCAAGAAACTTTCCGAAGAATGGGAATATGAAAGATGATTTTAGAGAGCACAAGGATGAATGTTATGTTAGCTAGCTGGTATTTGCTGCAATGCATACTAGAAAAAGGTATATACAACCTTCTGATCCATCAGTTCACAAATATGTGATAAGCTAGATTAATCCTAATTTTAAAAAGTAAATAGATTTTTAAGAAACATCAAGTTATATTACACAGGTGGTACTCATATATACCCATGTAGTAAGATGACTCTAAAATGACTTAAGTTTTATAAATAGTTGTCTAAACTAGGTCTTCTAATGAAAAATACTTTCCCCTCAATGTGTCTGGTTTTATTTATATTTCCAAAGTAAAGTAATCCATATTTTAACAGAAACATTTTTTATGGTACTCACATTTCTTTTTCTCATCAAATAGTTTATGTTTTTGTAAGCAAATTATTTCACAAGCAAATTAGCACTCAGGATTATTAAGTTCCTGTGTGTATCTACCTTCCTTAAAACATGTTTACCTAGGGTTAGGGAATGTAGCTCATCTACTTGCCTAGCATGTTCAAGGCCCTGGGTTCAATTCCCAGCACTACAAAAACAAAACAAAACAAAACAAAAACAAAATATAACAAACATGCTTACCTAGGTAGTTATGCCATGTTCATAAATAGTTGATGCCTTCTCATTTTGACAAGTTTCTTTATAGAAAATTGAGGTGGGGCCTCAATTTCATTATAGAAAATATATTTCCATCTAATCTACCCTGTTAACCAAATTTTCAGAGAACTGTTTGAACTCTTGACAACTTATTGTAATAGAATGTACATTAATGACCTATGTCCTATTGTCACAGTAGTCAATTATTTATCATAGAATTTAGAGGTTTAAAGAAGACCCTAAGCACTCAGTCAGCATACATTAATGTTTATATTCCCTGATGTTAGAACACAGAAGTGCAAATCACAAGATTAATTTCATTATCTTTTTTTTTTGGTACCAGGGATTGAACTCAGGGGCACTCAACCACTGAGCCACATCCCTAGCCCTATTTTGTATTTTATTAGAGACAGGGTGATTTCACTGAGTGGCTTAGCGCCTCGCTAAATTGCTGAGGCTGGCTTTGAACTCAGGATCCTCTTGCCTCCACCTCCCAAGCTGCTGGGATTGCAGGCATGTGCCACCGCACCAGGCCTCATTATCTTTTTTGATGGCCACTATGAATGGCAATGATAATTTTCTCCTGAGATAAATTTCACATTGCCACCTCTAGATGCAAGACTGAAAAACTGAGTACTAGAAAACGGAAACAAAATTATCAAGATTAGCTTAAACCAGTTCTCCATCTCCTATATTGGTAATTACTGCAGCTCTTAACCAAACTAGGATTCTGTTGACAGGGAAGAGAAGGGGGCATGAATAATTCCTGGGTATCAACCTACAGTATCTGCCATAAGACCCTACCTCAAGATTTGATTTCTCTCTAAGGTGGCATCACTCTTAGTTTTCTACTTATTTCCTCAGATTTTATTTATATATGTTGTATTATATGTAATGTATTAATTTATTTTTACTCAAATGGTGGCATACTATACATATTGCTCTGCACTGTATCTTTTTCACTTAAAAAGTTGAAGTCTTATTCCATTTTGATATGTAATAAAACCACCTCCTAATAGGATAAAAGTATTCCATTGTATGAATATGCCATAATTTATCGAGTCCTGTAAGAAAAGACATTTTGGATACTTTCAATCTCTGCTACTATAAAAAAGACTACACTAAACTACCTTATACATGTGTCATCTGATACTATGAATTAGTGCTTAGAAGAGAAATTTCTGATCCATATAAACTTTGGAAATGGCTGCTGGCATTTGGGAAGAGTAATCACATTGAATTTATGGATTAAAATGTAAACAGCATGGCATCTTTATTTTAGAGCCTTTACACTGAGAGTAGAATCTGTCTTTTCATCATGTCATATTTTACTAATTCTAATATACACATTTATAAATAAGGATGTATCTCATAATCTAAAACAATTTTTAATTAGTTAGTCAGCAGACTACGTGACAGTAACTATTCCTGATGGCATGACAGATAAATGCCATCCCCGGTCATTTCAGTCATCAAACCATTTAAGGACCATTGGAGGAAGAAACGTGAATCATGTTGTTAGAAAACCTCTTGTGACATCTTCTGGTAAGATTAGGAAAATGCAAAACCAGTGTCCTAAGTAATTTGGAAGAAAATAAAGAAATGTGACATAATCAAGGCTCTTCATGGCATAAAGAGCAATTCTGTGAGGGGGGAAGAAAACACCAATTTTGATGATTCCAAGTCAAAAAGTGATTCAGAAGAATCAGATTCTAAATGTGATGTGTAAGTAATATCTTAACGGATACACTTTGTATTTTTGTTTTTATAACTGCATGAGATAAAATACCAACTATGTCTAAGAGTTCTTTCCATAAATACAAAACAAAATTTTAAGTCCTAAAAGATTACTGCATCAGAGCGACTGGCAGCAGTTTTCTTCGTGTTGTATTTTTTAAAATGCAATTTATAATCAGTAGTATCTCGAATTTCATGAAATACACTCAATATTATCTTACATCCCTCAGGAGCATCATTTTAAAGTTCCTCTCATAATTTTGCACATTCTTGTTAAGATTATTTCAATGTATTTTCTCTTTTCTTCCACTACATTTTCTCATTAGTTTATTCATTTTTGCCTATTTTGTAAGCAACTACTTTATTGAATTCTCTTAATATATAATATATATTAATATATATATATATATATATATATATATATATATTTTTTTTTTTTTTTTTTTTTAGAAGATTCTTCTTGGGGTGGGGCTGGGGTTGTGGCTCAGTGGTAGAGTGCTCACCTAGCACAAGCGAGGCCCTGGGTTTGATATTCAGCACCACATAAAAAAATAAATAAATAATTAAGATATTGTGTCCAACTACAACTAAAAAATAAATATTAAAAAAAAGAAGATTCTTCTGGGTTTTCCAGATATAAACTGAAATAAAATTTAAACTCAAATTATCTTAAACTATCTGCTGACGTTTTAGTTCAGTGAAGGTAAAGACTGCTTCCATTACTTTTACTGTTCTATCTCTAGCACCTGGGATATACATCTTACTTTGTAAAACTTACTCCAATCCTTCTTTTCCCCAACAGAAATGTTGAGTTAAGTCAAAAAAATAAAAAAAATTAAAAATAAATTATTTTTATTTTTATTTATGTATGAGGAGATAATAGTCACACTCCCAGAAAACATACATACAAATCCTGTAAGAAATTAGGTATCTTATAATCAAATTCATATACACTTGATTATAATTTGTTATATTTTAGTCATTAAAAACTCTAATATGAAGTAATTATTTTAAACTCTTACCTTTTAGATCTTAGATCTGATGACTCAAACTGGATATTCATAGGTCCAGGATTTATTTCATGATTTACTTCAGAGTTGAGAAGATGTCTAGAATCATTATCCATATTTGCCATTTTTCTCAGATTCTAAGCACTAGGGAAGCCCTACATAAACAGGAAAAGATAGCAGTTTAGTTTAATTTCAAAAACATTTTACTTTCATAAGTAATACATTTGAATAGAGAAGAAATGGAAAAGTAGAGGAATTTGCTATCTTTTTTTCTTTTTCTTTTTTGAAATGAGGTCTTGCAAAATTGCCCAGGCTGGCCTCAAATTTAGGATCCTCCTGTCTCAGTCTCCAGAGCAGCTGGAACTATAGGCCTTCAGTTATTGCACTTCGCTGCTAAAGATATTGTAATGAATTATATGCCTGAAATATTTATCAGAGACTGAAATGTAGTTACTTCTTACTTCACAGCTCAATTTAAAAAAAAAAAAGTAGGATACTCCATTTCCAAGAATAAAACAGATTAGATTATTTAGACTCACTATAAATTAAAAAAAAAAGAATTTTTTTTTCCTGTAATTTTTGAAAGCACTAACAATAGGAAAATCAGATCATTTGTTGGTGAGTTAAGGAACCTAGAGGTGTAAATGACTCAAGAAAATTGTTGCTGCCCTAGGAGTATTTACTATACCAAGATAATTTGAGTTGATGTTTACAAAGCCTTAAGAAGTATTAGAGAAACAGAAGACAAGTTCGTATTTCATTTAAAGTAAGGAATGATTATAGTAGAGCTTTACTAGCCTAGGTTTCATTCCAAGTAAGGAATGTTTATAAGAGCTTATTAGAGTTGGAGTTACCAAAAAAGTAATTTACTTTTTCACAAGGGACTTGCCAAGTTTCTTAACAATGAGTGTATGCAAGTATTTGTGGAGGGGGAGCCATTATAACAATTTGTTACCATATGCTACTGCTCATGCCAATTTGCAAAGTATCAAGGTACACTTAAAGCTGTGAATACAATTTAAAGTTAACCTACTTGGTAGCACTTTTAGGTAACTGACAGAAACCAATGTAAATCTTTCCTGTAAGGATACACCTTCATTGTAGGCCTTAAAGAAATCCTGTTAACAATTTTTTCAGGATAATGAATAATACACAGTCAAAAATAACCTAGTGCTGGGCGCAGTGGCATATGCCTGTAATCCCAGTGGTTGGGTAGGCTGAAACAGCCTCCTGTCTCGGGAGTTCAAAGCCAGCCTCAGCAAAAGTGAGGCACTAAGCAACTCAGTGAGACCATGCCTTTAAATAAAATACAAAATAGGGCTGAGGATGTGGCTCAGTGGTTGAGTGTCCCTGAGTTCAATCCCTGGTAGTCATCCCTCCCCAAATTATGTAGGAAATAAAGTGCTATCAATGAGAACCTGAAGAAATAACAGCAGAAATAGATCCACAAGGACTTTAATTATAGAATTATCAGAACAAGATTATAAAATATTTATATTTTCTATGTTTAAATAAAGAAAAGAAAAAGTAGAAATTTGTGGGGACAAGGGCATGCAGTACTGCATACATGGCATACCTTAAGGGCGTCTGAGTGGCAGGCCACTCACCTCATGCTAGGCGCGGGAGCAGCAGACTGCTTACCCATAGGTACAGCCCTGGGTGTGAGGCCATGTGTTGCAGTCCCTGCGCTTGCTACACAGCCTACTCCTTGATTGGTCATTGCAAGGACAGTTAGCAAGAAAGTGTATTGGTGGCTGCCTATAATCTGCCTAGCTACCTCCTGAGTATATATACATGATAACTGAGCAATAAAATCAAACCTGCTTCTTGCTCAGTCTCTGGAGGTCTTGATTAGCAACTCTGCAGCCACACTCTTCTCTACCCTGTTCTGTGGACCTCTTCGCTGGATGAGAGAGAGCCTACACAATAATATTCCAAAAGTGTCTTACCTTATTTTGAAAAAATAGTCAAAATTTAACCCTCAATGGTTAGGTTTAAAAGTTGGAAGAGAAAATTAATGAATTGGAAGATAAGTCACAAGAAACTCTGTAGGAAAAAAAGAAAAAAAGAAGAAATTCTCTAGACTGGGACAGAGAAAAAAAGGCCAAAAATTTGGAAGTTAATGTATATGAAAGAGAGAATGATTAGGTCTAACAAACACATTATTGGAGAATCAAAAAGAAAAAAGATGATAAAAGGTAATACTTGAAGAGATAATGGATGAGAACTTTCCAGAATTCATAAGAAACCAATCAGCAGATTCAAGCAGTTTAATGAATCTGAGAGAAATAATAAACTATTTATAGGGTTAGAAAAAAAGAATTAAAATTATAGATCAAAGTAAATAGGAATGGAGTGCATCACCCCCGTGTACCGCGTCACTGCGCGGGTGAATGACGAGTTAGAACGGCCAAAAGCTATCTTGTTAGGAATTTCCAGCAAAATTGGGGTGCACCGAAACCTAGAGGAAGGATTTCCATCGCCCGAGGATCCGTTACTGGGGCTCAACCGCGAGTGATTTGTCCGCCCGGAGATTCAAGCTGCTTATTCAGCGGCTCACCCCGCTGCTAGAGACTGTGGCGCGAGCCAGGAAACGGCGTCCATAGAAACGACGAGCTAGCAACGCAGAGAAACGGCGCTGCTGATTCAGCGGGCTCCTGCCGGCTGTGCCCTCACTGTGCTCAGTGCTGAATTCTGGGTTTGAGACGGGGGAAGGAAGCGGTCCAGTTCTGTCCTCCACACCAGTCAGACTACCGAGGAAGCCAGCGGCCACCATCTTGGAGAGCTGACGTCACCATGGCCAGTTTTCGACTGATCACAGCTCATTCAGCGATAGAACAGGTCTGTGACATTTAGCTCATCTCCCATACGGCGGGGAAATCACATAAAATCTCTCCCCGGCTTTCCGGGGGCGTGATTAACAGAGTGAGCATGAGTAGAGGCTTGGAGGAAAGGTAAAGGCTCCTGACCCCCAACTCCTCCCTCCCACCAGCGGTGAAAATGAAACCTGTTTCGCCAGCTCTAGGAGGAGGGGCTAGTGGAAGGAATCAAAACAGTAAGGTTCCGGTTCCCAAAAGCCGCGCTCCACGTCCAGGAAACTGCAGGCACAGAGTGTAGTTTGAACTGCCGAGAGGTATCACACTGGGAAAGGCCTCGCTGACAGGAGAAGCCTGGGGACTAGAAACCAGGAATAAACCTAAGCTAACAGGTTTTGAGAGACACCAGTGTGGGGAGGAGGGAGCGGTCTCACATGGATTGTTTCCTACAGCTGGAGGGCAAAATCTTGGCCCGGAAGGCACAGCACCACTTACTGGAAGCGAAGAAAATAGAAGCCTAACAGTGTCCCTTTTTTCATTTAATTTTTTCTTTTTTAATTTTAATATTTTTTTCTTTTCTTTTCTACAATTATACTATTATTTTTTTAAATGTAATTTTTATTTTACTGCATTTTATTATTTTTTTATTATCATTTCCTTTTCTTTTCTATTCTTTTCTCTTTCTTTCCTCTCTCCCTCTCTCTTTCTTGGTTTGCTTCCTTACCTTTTCCCCATCTTTCCTCTTAAGCATGATCACCCAGATTACGTACAACTTACTAAATGCAGATAGATGAATACTACGAATTGGTCCATAGTCCGCCTAAGCCCTTAACTACCCCCAAGTACTCCTGTCTATTCTCTTGTTAATATCCGCCTGCATTTGAGCAACCCCCCCCCAAAGAAGCTAACATATACTAACCTCCATACCATCAAAGCACCCGACCTCAACATAAAATCCTAAGGTCAAACCTCAGTTCTATACATGCCATCAAATTCTGTAGGCCTCTAATTAAACTAATGAATTTACCTTAAATCACAATTAAATCCAACATCTCTAAACATTATCTCTCAACACAAAGGAGAGATATTGGAACTATAAAAACCAAAACAAATTTAAAGAAGAAAACAGAAACACAGCAGTCAAACAGAGTTGGAAAGCAACACGAGCACCATGAAAAAACAAGGGAAAAAAGGATTACAAACAATGCAGGACAACTTAAATTCACAGGAGAACCTAGAGGCTTCAGAAAAAAGGACAGAGAAAGAACTCAAGGCACACCTAACTCAGATGGAACGGAATCTTAGAGAAGACATTAGACAGCAAGTCAAACAATGAAAGTATACTTTGAAAACGAATTAAATAGGCAAATTCAAATGGCAAAGAACGAGCTATACCAGGAGATAGAGATTTAAAAAAAAAAAATCAAACAGTAATCCTAGAAATGCAGGAAACCATAAACCAAATTAAAAACTCAAACGAGAATATTACAAATAGACTAGATCAAATAGAAGTCAGAACATCAGATAATGAAGACAAAGTGTATCAACTTGAAAATAATATACTCAACACAGAAAGGATGCTAAGAAATTACCAGCAATCTATCCAAGAGATATGGGATGTTATAAAAAACCAAACTTGAGAGTCATCAGGATAGAAGAAGGTATAGAGGTTCAAACCAAAGGAATGAACAATCTATTGAATGAAATAATCCTAGAAAACTTCCAGATATGAAAGATGGAATGGATTGCCAAACCCTGGAAGCCTACAGGAACCAAACATACAAAACTGTAATAGACCAACAACCAAGACACATAATTATGAAGATATCCAACATACAGAACAAGGAGAGAATATTAAAAGCTACGAGACAAAGAAGGCAGATTACATTCAGGGGTAAACCAATTAGGTTAACGGCTGATTTTTCATCACAGACGTTGAAAGCAAGAAGATCCTGGAACAACGTATTTCAAACGCTGAAAAATAATGGATTCCAACCAAGAATACTGTATCCAGCAAAATTAAGCTTCAGATGTGACAATGAAATTAAAATATTTCACGATAAACAAAAGTTAAAAGAATTCGCAGCCAGAAAACCAGCACTGCAAGGCATTTTGAGCAAAACACTACAAGAAGAGGAACTGAAAAACAGCACCCAAAACTAACATTGGGAGGTAATTCAGTAAAGGAAAGAACAAAAAATATAACCAAAAAGGAAAATGGGCCATATTAAAATAAATAAATAAATAAGCATGACTGGAAGTACAAACAATATATCAATAGTAACCTTAAACGTTAATGGCTTAAATTCACCAATCAAGAGACAAAGGCTAGTAACCTG